ACCCTGAGACACCGTCTCTACTCTAGACACACTGAGACACCGTCTCTAGACACCCTGAGACACCGTCTCTACACTAGACACCCTGAGACACCGTCTCTAGACACCCTGAGACACCGTCTCTACACTAGACACCCTGAGACACCGTCTCTAGACACCCTGAGACACCGTCTCTAGACACCCTGAGACACCGTCTCTAGACACCCTGAGACACCGTCTCTACACTAGACACACTGAGACACCGTCTCTACACTAGACACACTGAGACACCGTCTCTACACTAGACACCCTGAGACACCATCTCTAGACACACTGAGACACCGTCTCTAGACACACTGAGACACCGTCTCTACACTAGACACCCTGAGACACCGTCTCTAGACACCCTGAGACACCGTCTCTACACTAGACACACTGAGACACCGTCTCTACACTAGACACACTGAGACACCGTCTCTACACTAGACACCCTGAGACACCGTCTCTACACTAGACACACTGAGACACCGTCTCTACACTAGACACACTGAGACACCGTCTCTAGACACACTGAGACACCGTCTCTACACTAGACACCCTGAGACACCCTGAGACACGCTGAGACACCGTCTCTAGACACTCTGAGACACGCTGAGACACCGTCTCCACTCTGAGACACCCTGAGACACGCTGAGACACCGTCTCCACTCTGAGACACACTGAGACACCGTCTCTAGACACTCTGAGACACTCTGAGACACGCTGAGACACCGTCTCCACTCTGAGACACCCTGAGACACGCTGAGACACCGTCTCCACTCTGAGACACACTGAGACACCGTCTCTAGACACCCTGAGACACCGTCTCAACACTAGACACACTGAGACACCGTCTCTACACTAGACACACTGAGACACCGTCTCTAGACACGTTGAGACACCGTCTCCACTCTGAGACACCGTCTCTACACTAGACACCCTGAGACACGCTGAGACACCGTCTCTAGACAATCTGAGACACGCTGAGACACCGTCTCCACTCTGAGACACCCTGAGACACGCTGAGACACCGTCTCCACTCTGAGACACACTGAGACACCGTCTCTAGACACTCTGAGACACTCTGAGACACGCTGAGACACCGTCTCCACTCTGAGACACCCTGAGACACGCTGAGACACCGTCTCCACTCTGAGACACACTGAGACACCGTCTCTAGACACCCTGAGACACCGTCTCTACACTAGACACCTGAGACACCGTCTCTACACTAGACACACTGAGACACCGTCTCTAGACACGTTGAGACACCGTCTCCACTCTGAGACACCGTCTCTACACTAGACACTCTGAGACACGCTGAGACACCGTCTCTGGACACTCTGGGACACGCTGAGACCCTTCCCCTAGACCCAGGCCTCTGTCTGCCTCATGCCTCGTAATGGTTGCGGAAGTGGCAGATGCGAACATGATCCTCCATGAACACGTGGTCGTACATATCACGCATCCATCCCACGTCGCACCAGTAGAAGTCCCACTCGCCATCGCTGCACACAGACAAAGGTGGCACGTGTAGCCTCTTAACAGAATGCAGGGGCAAGTGCTGATAGCGACCAGCGCGCCTGTAGACACACAAAAGTGGCACGTGCATGTTTGTGGGTCTCAATGTATCTCTGTGGGTCTCTGTGGGTCTCCATGCATCTCTATGGATCTCTATGGGTCTCTATGCATCTCTATGGGTCTCTGTGGGTCCCAATGCATCTCTATGGGTCTCTGTGGGTCTCCATGCATCTCTATGGGTCTCTGTGGGTCTCAATTCATCTCTATGGGTCTCTGTGGGTCTCCATGCATATCTATGAGTCTCAATGGGTCTCTATGCATCTCTATGGGTCTCTATGCATCTCTATGGGTCTCTATGCATCTCTATGGGTCTCTATGTATCTCTAAGGGTCTCTATGTATCTCTAAGGGTCTCTATGTATCTCTATGGGTCTCAATTCATCTCTATGGGTCTCTATGTATCTCTATGTATCTCTGTGTATCTCTATGGGTCTCTGTGTATCTCTATGGGTCTCTGTGTATCTCTATGGGTCTCTGTGTATCTCTATGTATTTCTATGGGTCTCTATGTATCTCTGTGTATCTCTATGGGTCTCTGTGTATCTCTATGGGTCTCTGTGTATCTCTATGGGTCTCTGTGTATCTCTATGTATCTCTATGTGTCTCTATGTATCTCTATGGGTCTCTATGCATCTCTATGTATCTCTGTGTATCTCTATGGGTCTCTGTGTATCTCTATGGGTCTCTGTGTATCTCTATGTATCTCAATTCATCTCTATGGGTCTCTATGGGTCTCTGTGTATCTATCTCGGTCTTTATGGGTCTCTGTGTATCTCTATGGGTCTCTGTGTATCTCTATGTATCTCTGTGTATCTCTATGGGTCTCTGTGTATCTCTATGGGTCTCTGTGTATCTCTGGGTCTCTGTGTATCTCTATGTATCTCTATGGGTCTCTATGCATCTCTATGGGTCTCTATGCATCTCTATGGGTCTCTGTGTATCTCTATGTATCTCTATGCGTCTCTATGGGTCTCTATGGGTCTCTGTGTATCTCTATGTATCTCTATGCGTCTCTATGGGTCTCTATGGGTCTCTGTGCATCAATCCCTGTGGCTCTCCGCGTGTTCCCGAGCGCAGCAACAGCGAGCCTCGTCAGGCGGCATAGCCACAATCACCCCCCACCACCACCACCACCACCCCCACCCCCACCCCACCACCACCACCCCCCTCGTCCACTCCGTGCTACGACAAATCTTTGACCCTCGGTTTGGGGTCAAAGTCTCTCCCCTCCATCCACTCCGTGTTAGGACTCAACTCTGTGACCCCTCGGTTTGGGGTCAAAGTCTCTCCCCCCGTCCACTCCGTGCTAAGACTCAAATCTTTTACCTCTCGGTTTTGGTTAAAGTCTCTCCCCCCGCTCACTCCGTGTTAGGACTCAAATCTGTGACCCCTCGGTTTGGGTCAAAGTCTCCTCCTGTCCACTCCGTGCTAGGACTCAAATCTTTGACCCCTCGGTTTTGGTTAAAGTCTCTCCCCCGTTCACTCCGTGTTAGGACTCAACTCTGTGACCCCTCGGTTTGGGGTCAAAGTCTCTCCCCATCCACTCCGTGTTAGGACTCAACTCTGTGACCTCTCGGTTTGGGGTCAAAGTCTCTCCCCCCCGTTCACTCCGTGTTAGGACTCAACTCTGTGACCCCTCAGTTTGGTTAAAGTCTCTCCCCCCGTCCACTCCGTGTTAGGACTCAACTCTGTGACCCCTCGTTTGGGGTCAAAGTCTCTCCCCCATCCACTCCGTGTTAGGACTCAAATCTTTGACCTCTCGGTTTTAGTGAAAGTCTCTCCCACCCCGTCCACTCCGTACTACGACTCAAATCTTTTACCTCTCGGATTTGGTTAAAGTCTCTCCCCCCGTTCACTCCGTGTTAGGACTCAAATGTTTGACCCTCGGTTTGGGGTCAAAGTCTCTCCCACCCCCGTCCACTCCGTGCTACGACTCAAATCTTTTACCTCTCAGATTTGGTTAAGTCTCTCCCCCGTTCGCTCCGTGTTAGGACTCAAATCTTTGATCCCTCGGTTTGGGGTAAAAGTCTCTCCCCCATCCACTCCGTGCTAGGACTCAAATCTGTGACCCCTCGGTTTGGGGTCAAAGTCTCTCCCACCCCGTCCACTCCGTACTAGACTCAAATCTTTACCTCTCGGTTTGGTTAAAGTCTCTCCCCTCCGTCCACTCCGTGTTAGGACTCAACTCTGTGACCCCTCGGTTTGGGGTCAAAGTCTCTCCCACCGGTCCACTCCGTGCTACGACTAAAATCTTTTACCTCTCGGATTTGGTTAAAGTCTCTCCCCCCTGTTCACTCCGTGTTAGGACTCAAATCTGTGACCCCTCGGTTTGGGGTCAAAGTCTCTCCCCCGGTCCACTCCGGCTAGGACTCAAATCTTTGATCCCTCCGTTTGGGGTCAAAGTCTCTCCCCCATCCACTCCGTGTTAGGACTCAACTCTGTGACCTCTCGGTTTGGGGTCAAAGTCTCCCCCCCCCGTTCACTCCGTGTTAGGACTCAACTCTGTGACCCCTCAGTTTGGTTAAAGTCTCTCCCTCCGTCCACTCCGTGTTAGGACTCAAATCTGTGACCCCTCGGTTTGGGGTCAAAGTCTCCCCTCCCGTCCACTCCGTGCTACGACTCAAATCTTTGACCCCTCGGTTTTGGTTAAAGTCTCTCCCCCCATCCACTCCGTGTTAGGACTCAAATCTGTGACCCCTCAGTTTGAGGTCAAAGTCTCTCCCCCATCCACTCCGTGTTAGGACTCAAATCTTTGACCCCTCGGTTTGGGGTGAACGTCTCTCCCCCCACCCAACCACCCCGACCACCGTCCACGCCGTGTTAGGACTCAACTCTTTGACCTCGGTCCAGCCAGGCCTCTGCTCAGCACGTCCAGGATGGTGTTGTTGAGGGAGCACTTGAAACGCACGCTGCTCCGAACTTCCCTGGCGGGGACAAGAACGAACCACTCTGTTCATCCTCTTTGGTTCTTTCGGTAAAGTCACCACCACCACCACCACCACCACGTAGAATGAGAATCAAAGAAAAAATAACGCGATAAAATTCTCACGACGTTTCGGCCAAAACGCAAGCGGCCGCTTCGGGTGAAAGGAGCGGAACTGTCGGGACAACAGAGCTTCAGTGAACGATGTTAAGATTCGTAGCGACTTTTAAGCTGGTTGGGAGAAGTGAGGCACCTTGACAAAGGGGGTTACACATTAAATAGCTGAGGGATTAGCTTGTGACTGGTCACAGAAATAGATGTTAAAGTAAAGGCCTACACATCCACAGAGCTTCAGTGAACGATGTTAAGATTCGTAGCGACTTTTAAGCTGGTTGGGAGAAGTGAGGCATCTTGACAAAGGGGGTTTACACATCAAATAGCTGAGGGATTAGCTTGTGACTGGTCACAGAAATAGATGTTAAAGTAAAGGCCTACACATCCACAGAGCTTCCGTGAACGATGTTAAGATTCGTAGCGACTTTTAAGCTGGTTGGGAGAAGTGAGGCACCTTGACAAAAGGGGGTTTACATATCAAATAGCTGAGGGATTAGCTTGTGACTGGTCACAGAAATAGATGTTAAAGTAAAGGCCTACACATCCACAGAGCTTCAGTGAACGATGTTAAGATTCGTAGCGACTTTTAAGCTGGTTGGGAGAAGTGAGGCACCTTGACAAAAGGGGGTTTACATATCAAATAGCTGAGGGATTAGCTTGTGACTGGTCACAGAAATAGATGTTAAAGTAAAGGCCTACACATCCACAGAGCTTCAGTGAACGATGTTAAGATTTGCAGCGACTTTTAGGCTGGTTGGGAGAAGTGAGGCACCTTGACAAAAGGGGGTTTACATATCAAATAGCTGAGGGATTAGCTGTGACTGGTCACAGAAATAGATGTTAAAGTAAAGGCCTACACACCCACAGAGCTTCAGTGAACGATGTTAAGATTCGAGCGACTTTTAAGCTGGTTGAGAAGTGAGGCACCTTGACAAAGGGGGTTTACACATCAAATAGCTGAGGGATTAGCTTGTGACTGGTCACAGGAATGGCTATGTTAAAGTCAAAACCTACACATCAACAGAGGCAACTAGTAACTTAGCATTGAAATAGCTAAGGGATTAGCTTGTGACTGGTCACATGAATGGATATGTTAAAGTCAAAACCTACACATCCACAGAGGCAACTAGTAATTTAGCATTGAAATAGCTAAGGGATTAGCTTGTGACTGGTCACAGAAATAGATGTTAAAGTAAAGGCCTACACATCCACAGAGCTTCAATGAACGCTGTTAAGATTCGTAGCGACGTTTAAGCTGGTTGGGAGAAGTGAGGCACCTTGACAAAGGGGGTTTACACATCAAATAGCTGAGGGATTAGCTTGTGACTGGTCACGGGAATGGCTATGTTAAAGTCAAAACCTACACATCCACAGAGGCAACTAGTAATTTAGCATTGAAATAGCTAAGGGATTAGCTTGTGACTGGTCACAGGAATGGCTATGTCAAAGTCAAAACCTGCACATCCACAGAGGCAACTAGTAATTTAGCATTGAAATAGCTGAGGGATTAGCTTGTGACTGGTCACAGGAATGGCTATGTTAAAGTCAAAACCTACGCATCCACAGAGGCAACTGGTAATTTAGCATTGAAATAGCTAAGGGATTAGCTTGTGACTGGTCACAGGAATGGCTATGTTAAAGTCAAAACCTACACATCCACAGAGGCAACTAGTAATTTAGCATTGAAATAGCTAAGGGATTAGCTTGTGACTGGTCACGGGAATGGCTATGTTAAAGTCAAAACCTACACATCCACAGAGGCAACTAGTAATTTAGCATTGAAATACCTAAGGGATTAGCTTGTGAATGGTCACGGAAATGGCTATGTTAAAGTCAAAACCTACACATCCACAGAGGCAACTAGTAATTTAGCATTGAAATACCTAAGGGATTAGCTTGTGACTGGTCACGAAAATGGCTATGTTAAAGTCAAAACCTACACATCTACAGAGGCAACTAGTAATTTAGCATTAAAATAGCTAAGGGATTAGCTTGTGACTGGTCACAGGAATGGCTATGTTCAAGTCAAAACCTACACATCCACAGAGGCAACTAGTAATTTAGCATTGAAATAGCTAAGGGATTAGCTTGTGACTGGTCAGAGGAATGGCTATGTTAAAGTCAAAACCTACACATCCACAGAGGCAACTAGTAATTTAGCATTGAAATAGCTAAGGGATTAGCTTGTGACTGGTCACAGGAATGGCTATGTCAAAGTCAAAACCTGCACATTCACAGAGGCAACTAGTAATTTAGCATTGAAATAGCTAAGGGATTAGCTTGTGACTGGTCACAGGAAAGGCTATGTTAAAGTCAAAACCTACACATCCACAGAGGCAACTAGTAATTTAGCATTGAAATGGCTAAGGGATTAGCTTGTGACTGGTCACGGGAATGGCTATGTCAAAGTCAAAACCTGCACATCCACAGAGGCAACTAGTAATTTAGCATTGAAATACCTAAGGGATTAGCTTGTGACTGGTCACGGGAATGGCTATGTCAAAGTCAAAACCTGCACATCCACAGAGGCAACTAGCAATTTAGCATTGAAATGGCTAAGGGATTAGCTTGTGACTGGTCACGGGAATGGCTATGTTAAAGTCAAAACCTGCACATCCACAGAGGCAACTAGTAATTTAGCATTGAACTAGCTAAGGGATTAGCTTGTGACTGGTCACGGGAATGGCTATGTCAAAGTCAAAACCTGCACATCCACAGAGGCAACTAGCAATTTAGCATTGAAATAGCTAAGGGATTAGCTTGTGACTGGTCACAGGAATGGCTGTGTTAAAGTCAAAACCTACACATCCACAGAGGCAACTAGTAATTTAGCATCGAAATAGCAGAGGGATTAGCTTGTGACTGGTCACAGGAACGGCTATGTTAAAGTCAAAACCTGCACATCCACAGAGGCAACTAGTAATTTAGCATCGAAATAGCTGAGGATTAGCTTGTGACTGGTCACAGGAATGGCTATGTTAAAGTCAAAACCTACACATCCACAGAGGCAACTAGTAATTTAGCATTGAAATAGCGGAGGGATTAGCTTGTGACTGGTCACAGGACTGGCTATGTTAAAGTCAAAACCTGCACATCCACAGAGGCAACTAGTAATTTAGCATCGAAATAGCTAAGGGATTAGCTTGTGACTGGTCACAGGAATGGCTATGTTAAAGTCAAAACCTGCACATCCACAGAGGCAACTAGTAATTTAGCATTGAAATAGCTGAGGGATTAGCTTGTGACTGGTCACAGAAATAGATGCTAAAGTAAAGGTCTACACATCCACAGAGCTTCAATGAACGCTGTTAAGATTTGTAGCGACTTTTAAGCTGGTTGGGAGAAGTGAGGCACCTTGACAAAGGGGGTTTACATATCAAATAGCTGAGGGATTAGCTTGTGACTGGTCACAGGAATGGCTATGTCAAAGTCAAAACCTACACATCCACAGAGGCAACTAGTAATTTAGCATTGAAATAGCTAAGGGATTAGCTTGTGAATGGTCACGGAAACGAAATTCTCACGACATTTCGGCCACAACGCAAAGCGGCCTTCATCAGGTGAAGGGACCTGACTGTCTCGAGGACAGTGCTGGAGTGAAGAAAGCCAAGCTCAGACCGCGACCTTTAAGCTGTGTGTGAGAGTAATTAAGGTTCCTTGACAAAGGAATTAGCATAAAAACAAAGATCCCCCGTGTAGCCTTAACAGGCTGTAGGGGCAAGTGCTGTTAGCGAGCAGCACCTGTGAAGGCCGGTAACGGTACACGAGGGGGTGGGTGGCCAGCACCACACCCGACCGCCTTTGTCTCCCTAGTGGCGATGTTTACTACACCGCACCAGGTACTCATTTGAGGCTGAGTCGACCTAGGGGAGGCCCGGGACCGGTTTGGATAATCGTCACTGGTGTTGGCCGTGAGCGGGAATCGAACCCGGGTCACCGGGTTCATAGCGCAGCGTAGCGCTAACCGCTACACTACCGCTCCCCACACACACACAGACACACTGACACACTGGCACACACACACACACAGACACACACAGTCACACAAACACACACACACACGGACATACGGACACACAGACACACTGACACACTGACACACTGACAGACACACTGACACACTGACAGACACACTGACAAACACACAGACACACTGACAAACACACAGACACACTGACACACTGACAGACACACTGACACACACACTGACACACTGACACACACACTGACACACTGACACTGACACACACACACACTGACACACACACACAGACACACTGACACACTGACAGACACACTGACACACTGACAGACACACTGACACACACACACAGATAGTCACACTGACAAACACACAGACACACTGACAGACACACTGACACACACACTGACACACTGACACACAGACACACTGACACTGACACACACACACATTGACACACACACACAGACACACACACTGATTGACACACTGACACACACACACTGATTGACACACTGACTGCCATACCCGTCCTTCTTCCTCGTGTGGAGGGGTTTGGCACCGGGGTTCTGAAATACAAACAGCCGACCCGGGGCACATCGATTGTACATCTTCAAATTTAACTTCACAAAAAAACCTACTAAAGCAGATACACACACACACAGACATAGACACTAACACATAGACACACACACAGACACACAGACATAGACACACACACACAGACACACACACAGACACACAGATATAGACACTAACACACAGACACACACACACAGACACACAGACATAGACACTAACACACACACAGACACACACACACAGACACCAACACACACAGACACACAGATATAGACACTAACACACAGACACACACACAGACAGACACACAGACATAGACACTAACACACAGACACACACACAGACACACAAACAGACACTAACACACACACAGACACACACACAGACAGACACACAGACATAGACACTAACACACACACACGACACACAGACATAGACACTAACACACACAGAGACACACAGACATAGACACACAGACATAGACACTAACACACAGACACACACACAGACACACAGACATAGACACTAACACATAGACACACACACAGACACACAGACATAGACACTAACACACACACATACACACAGACATAGACACTAACACACAGACACACACAGACAGACACACAGACATAGACACTAACACACACACAGACACACACAGACACACAGACATAGACACTAACACACAGACTCACACACACAGACATAGACACTAACACACAGACACACACACACACAGACACTAACACACAGACACACACACGCAGACACACAGACATAGACACTAACACACAGACACACACACGCAGACACACAGACACTAACACACACACAGACACACACACACAGACACAAAGACATAGACACTAACACACACACAGACACACACACAGACAGACACACAGACATAGACACTAACACACACACAGACACACAGACATAGACACTAACACACACACAGACACACACACAGACAGACACACAGACATAGACACTAACACACACACAGACACACACACAGACATAGACACTAACACACACACAGACAGACACACAGACAGACACTAACACACACACAGACACACACACAGACATAGACACTAACACACACACATACACAGACACACAGATAGACACACAGACATAGACACTAACACACAGACACACACAGACAGACACACAGACATAGACACTAACACACACACAGACACACACACAGACACACACACAGACATAGACACTAACACACACACAGACACACACACAGACACACACACAGACATAGACACTAACACACACACAGACACACACACAGACACACAGACATAGACACTAACACACACAGACACACACACACAGACACACACACTAACACACACACACACAGACACACACACACACACAGACACACACAGACACTAACACACACAGACAGACACACACAGACACACACACAGACACACAGACACACACACAGACATAGACACTAACACACACACACAGACACACTGACAGACACACTGACACAATGACACACAGACACACTGACACACAGACACACTGACACACAGACACACACACAGACACACACACACAGACACACACACAGACACACACAGACATACACAGACACACACACAGACACACTAACACACACACAACACACACACACAAACACACACAGACACACAGACATAGACACTAACACACACACAGACACTAACACACAGACACACACACAGACATAGACACTAACACACACACAGACACTAACACACACACACAGACACACACACAGCCACACACACACACTAACACACACACACTAACACACAGACACACACACACAGACACAATTTTCTTGCTCGTGTTTGTATTTTTTAGTTTGCTGTGGTTGCATCCGATTTTAACGGGGCTCTACCTAAAACCACGGAAACCTTGCATTGCGAGCTGAATTCGTTTCGGAAACGTTCTAGCAATCCAAATCAGTCGTATAACAAGCTCCCTGCAGGGTGGGCTGCTAGGAACATTGGAATTTTGCGCAATTTTACGACATCGTTGAGGGGTTCCTTCGGACAAATCCAACCTCTGTAGAGGAATGGAACCCGGTGAAATCCTCATCATTCCTCCTACCAGCATAAGGCATATCACGTCTCTGCGCTGTCTATTGCTGATTTTTACACCCCCCAACAGCACGAGATTTCACCTCTCGTGAAAGCATCGAAAGGGGACGGACGGACGCATTCATCCATCGCAGGCTGGTACACTCAGTTTTTTACAATTTCGTTCTTACTGCCAGTGTCAAAGCACCTCTTGGTGTGCTCACGTGACGTGGCTAGGTGCTGCTCGTATTATTGATAAGATCCTTGCTCGTTTATATATATATTTAAACATTTTTTTAAAAAAATATTCATTTACAATGTTTCGCTCGTTTTACACTCGCAGGCAAAGTTACTCGCATTCCAATGTTTTACTCTGTGCAGTGTGTAGTGTAGTGTGTAGTGTAGTGTATAGTGTAGTGTGTAGTGTAGTGTGTAGTGTAGTGTATAGTAGTGTGTAGTATAGTGTATAGTGTAGTGTATAGTAGTGTAGTGTATAGTGTAGTGTATAGTGTAGTGTGTAGTGTAGTGTATAGTAGTGTGTAGTATAGTGTGTAGTATAGTGTGTAGTGTAGTGTATATTGTAGTGTATAGTGTAGTGTAGTGTAGTGTATAGTAGTGTGTAGTATAGTGTATAGTGTAGTGTGTAGTGTAGTGTATATTGTAGTGTATAGTGTAGTGTGTAGTGTAGTGTAGTGTAGTGTGTAGTGTATAGTGTATAGTAGTGTAGTGTATAGTAGTGTTTATAGAAGTGTAGTGTATAGTAGTGTAGTGTATAGTATAGTGTATAGTAGTGTAGTGTATAGTGTAGTGTGTAGTAGTGTAGTGTATAGTGTAGTGTATAGTAGTGTAGTGTATAGTGTAGTGTATAGTGCAGTGTATAATGTAGTGTATAGTAGTGTATGTAGTGTATAGTGTAGTGTATAGTGTAGTGTATAGTGCAGTGTATAATGTAGTGTATAGTAGTGTATAGTGTATAGTGTAGTGCATAGTAGTAGTGTGTAGTATAGTAGTGTAGTGTATAGTGTAGTGTATAGTGCAGTGTATAGTAGTGTATAGTGTAGTGTATAGTGTAGTGTACAGTGTAGTGAGTTGGAGAGTACACACACTACAACGTGATGCACACAACCTGACCAGGTGGCCGTGTCGGGTGGTGGCAGGTTTGACGACACGCAACATTCGTGTTTACTTAATTTGTACGCGATCTTACGCAACAACAACAACAAACACACAACAACAACAAACACACAACAACAACAAACACACAACAACAACAAACACACAACAACAACAAACACAACAACAACAACTCTATGTCTCGTGTGTGTTGAGGGGGGTTCGTACCTTGAGCTTTGACATCGCTTGACCAACGCCACGGGACACACCCCCACACAGGTGCTGGTGATTGATACATAACGTTAATGTTTTTATACACACAGACATACACACAGACACACACACAGACATACACACACATACACACAGACACACACACAGACATACACATACATACACACAGACACACACACACAGACACACACACAGACATATACACACACACAGACATGCACACACATACAAACAGACACACACACAGACATACACACATACACACACACAGACATGCACACACATACACACAGACACACAGACACACACACAGACATACACACATACACACACACAGACATACACACAGACATACACACAGACACACACACAGACATACACACACATACAAACAGACACACACACATACACACACACAGACATACACACACATACACACACAGACATACACACATACACAGACATACACACACAAACACACAGACACATACACACACACACAACAACAACCGCCATTCGCCAATAAGTGGCGGTGACGTGACCACGACGCTTGTGCCAGGCTATGTGCACCCTTGAGGCCACGTGAAGTGTCGAACGCCCGCTGGCAGGAGGTCACGGGGCAGACCCAGGTGCCACGGGTCGACTGACTGAGATGACTGGCTGATGCACCACCTGTGCCCCCTACTGTGCCAACCTGCTGTGCTTTAGCCACCCGGCGCTCAGCTCGCTGTTGTGAGCGTCGCTCCTCCGCCCTCCGTTGTTGTTGGAGGGCGACTGCCTCCAACTGCCCAGTAGCATCCTTCACGAGCCTCCTCCACAGAGGCCGATCTTGACACCGCTGGTACCAGTCATCGGCAAGTCCACTCAGCTCCACGTCCTCCTGTACCACATCACTCCATCTCTTCTCTAGCCCGTGCCGCGCCCGCTTAGCCCCCTCAATCCGGCCAAACAAAAGCTGTTTCGGCATGCGGTGGCTGGGCATGCGGGCTACATGACCCAGCCATCGCAGCCTTGCCTGCCGGAGGAGCTCACCGATGGGACCCTGCCCAGATCTTTCAAGGATTTGTGAGCTCCTCACACAATCCAGTCTGGTTAAACCCAGGATGGATCGTAGGCAGGCCAGCCTAAATGTTTCTAACCGGCGAAGATGTTCCATTAGGGGGGTCCACGTTTCGCAAGCGTAGAGAAGGGAGGGAATGACCGTGGCCGAGAAGACCTGAAGCTTAGTGCGGAGCGACAGACCAGGTAGCTTCCACACAGCGTTACGCAACCGATGAAAAGATATTGCCGCTCGACTGATTCGGAGTGAGACCTCTGCTGTTAAACTGGAGCCAGTCATAAGCACACTGCCCAGGTATGGGAAACTCTCCACTCTCTCCACAACTGCCCCATCACCGATTGGGAGTTGTGGGGGTGGAGTGTCCGATGGTACAAAATACCCAGGCAGGTGCTTAGTTTTGGTGGGGCTGATGGTAAGGCCCCACCTCTTAGTGGCACGCTCCAGTCTCAGCAGCAGCGTCTCCAACTCCTCCTCTGACTGAGCAGCTATTACCAAGTCATCAGCATACATAACGTGGTTGAGCAATAGGGAGCCATCCCTTGACCGCACCCGGGCATCGATTAGCCTCCCATTATATCTGTACCATATGGAGATTCCCCCGGTACAGCTATTGAAGGCTTCACGAACTACGTGGTCAAAATAGATGTTAAATAATGTGGGAGCCAGAGGACATCCCTGTCGCACCCCAAGGTGTACAGGGAATGGCTCTGACTCCTGGCCACGTAGTTTTACCCGGGCCCGCTCACCATCATGAAGGTCCTTAATGATCGTGAGCAGAGGGTCAGGTACTCCAAAAGCACGAAGAACGACCCAGAGCCCAGGCCTACTGATGGTATCATAGGCCTTGACCAGGTCAATAAAGCAGAGATGTAGGTCTTGTTGGAATTCCCTACACCTCTGCTGTAGCAGACGGACAGAAAATATGGCATCTGTGCAGGACCGCCCTTTCCTGAAACCGCATTGGGGCTCCGCAAGCCTCTCCTCAGCGTGCCTGGCAAGGCGATGCTGAATAATCCTTGCCAGGACCTTTCCCGGCACACTGAGGAGTGAGATGCCCCTGTAGTTGTTACAGTCTGTGCGGTCCCCCTTCTTAAAAGGGGGACCACCAGGGCATCCTTCCAATCCTGCGGAACCCGTCCAGTGGTCCAGACTGTTGTTATGATGTCATATAGGGCAGTCTGTGCACAAACGCCACCCTCCCTCAGCATTTCGCTTGGGAGATCATCTCTGCCCGCTGCCTTTCCTGGTCTCAGACTCCGGATCGCCTTCAATACTTCCTCAGCAGATGGCACCTCAGCCAGCCACTCACATGGGGTGACTTCATCCAATATTTGAGGCACCGCAGCCTCAGCAGGGTCATCCTCACTTTGTGCCACGATGTTTTCCTGGCTGAGGGATTTTCCCTCCCCCAGGACCTCACAGAAATGCTCAGCAAATCTGCGAACCTGTTCCTGGGGGTCGGAAATTGGATCACCGTTTTTTTCCCCTAATGATGGTAATAGGTGTGGCGCTGCAGGTTACTTTTTTGATGGAGTTAAATAGAGATTTGTGATCACGGGCCACTGAGGCAGACTCCATCTCCTCAGCAACCCGCGACCACCACCCATCCTTGCAGCGCCTCACGGCTCTCCGAACCTCCGAGCGAAGGCTGCGGTAAGCCTCCTCATTCTCTGACGTGGGATTCTGTAGCCGATGACAGTGGGCCTGTCGCTTTTTCTCAACCATCGTGAACAACTCCTCTGTCATCCAGGGTGTCTGGGGAGGTCTGGACCGCGTACCCAAAGCAGCCATTGCAGCTGCATGAGTCACAGTCCTAAACCTCGCCCATTTACCCTCGACATCAGGAGGAGTCGGGGACGATGCCAATCCCAGCCACAAGCGATGATGAAATTCTCGCTTGCAACTTTCATCAGATAACTGAGACCAGGCCACTTTAGGTTGGAATGGGGTCCTGGGTGTACACCCACCACCAGAGTGGAAGAATGGCAGGCGCATCTTACAGATGACTAGTCGATGGTCAGAGGGCAGATCAGCTCCACGGTAGGTCCTGGTGTCAAGGACATGGGCTCGCATTCGCTGGTCCGTCACTATGTAGTCCAGCAGATGTTCTTGCTTGGACCCGGCATGCATCCATGATGTTGTGTGGATGCGCCGATGCCGGAACAGCGTGTTGGTAATTTCAAGCCCATGGGCTGCACAAAAATCTAGCAGCCTCCTACCGTTGTTATTGAGCTGATCTGGCCCATGCCCTCCAATCACTCCAGACCAGGTGCCAGTATCATGACCAACTCGGGCATTGAAGTCACCCAACATGATGACTCTATCCCGAGGGGCCACTTTAGCCAGCACCTGTGACAGGAGGTCATAGAAGGCATCTGACTCATCGGCTTTGCCTGCATCCCTCCACGGATGTTCATCTTCGGTGGGGGCATAAGTAACCACGACCACCATTCCTCGCCTCCGGTTGATGGGAAGGCGAGCCCAAAGTAGCCTGGGGCTTACAGCTTCCCACACCTCACCGCCACGATCCCACGCCCCCTTCATTCTTTTGTTCAAAATAAGACCCACACCCTGTTGTTTGGCAGTCTGCTGCCCCGAGTAGAGGACTGTCCACCCCTCATGGTGGCAGGAGCCAGAGCCGGTCCACCGGACCTCCTGAATGCCGCAAAGATCCAGGCGGTACCGGTCCAGCTCCCGACAGAGGAGTGGCAGCCTCTCCTCTGCAGTGAGCGTTCGAACATTCCACGTGGCCAACCGTAGTGGGCTTTTCGTTGTTTCTGGAGTAGCCCCGAGGGTAGGTATTCAATCTCCTGGCTCCGCCAATTGGGGTTTGGCCAGGAGACGTCATAGACGCCTGGCCCCCCGGGGCCTCCGGCACAAGCTTAGTTGTTACATATTTCAGTTTAATTCGTAGTTTCGTGGTAATTAATTGAAGGTGGAGGGGTTACCAGCCCCTCGCACCAGTCCAGAGCCCCCGTTTAGCCCCTGTGGTGGACACATATGCCATGAGGGGAGGAGCCAATCAAAATTGGATCTCCCCCCACAGCGCTGTCCACGACAGAGTTGCCCGTCCGGCACCGCACACACAGACACACACACACTAACACACACACTAACACACACACTAACACACACACACTAACACACACACTAACACTAACACACACTCACTAACACACACTACATACACACACACTACATACACACACACACTGACACTCACTCACTAACACACACTACATACACACACACACTACATACACATACACACACTACATACACACACACACTGACACTCACTAACACACACTACATACACTCACTAACACACACTACATACACACACACTACATACACACACACATACACACATACATACACTGACACTCACACTACATACACACATACATACACACACTAACACACACTAACACACACACTAACACACACACACACTGACACACACTACATACACACATACACATACGTACACGTACACACACGACAACAACAACAACCGCCATTCACCACTAAGTGGCGGTGACGTCACCACGACGCTTGTGCCAGGCTATGTGCACCCTGAGGCCACGTGAAGTGTCGAACGCCCGCTGGCAGGAGGTCACGGGGCAGACCCAGCAGGTGCCACGGGTCGACTGACTGAGATGACTGGCTGATGCACCACCTGTGCCCCCTACTGTGCCAACCTGCTGTGCTTTTAGCCACCCTGCGCTCCGCTCGCTGTTGTGAGCGCGCTCCTCCGCCCTCCGTTGTTGTTGGAGGGCGACTGCCTCCAACTGCCCAGTAGCGTCCTTCACGAGCCTCCTCCACAGAGGCCGATCTTGACACGGCTGGTACCGGTCATCGGCAAGTCCACTCAGCTCCACGTCCTCCTGTACCACATCACTCCATCTCTTCTCTAGCCCGTGCCGCGCCCGCTTAGCCCCCTCGATCCGGCCGAACAAAAGCTGTTTCGGCTACATACACACACACTACACACATACATACACACACACTAACACACACTAACACACACACACTAACACACACACTACACACATACATACACACACACTGACACTCACCCTTCTTGTTGTTGTTTTAAACTTTCTTGAGGCTCTTCAGAGGGAATTCTTAAGACGCCACGCGCGGTGGACGCCGCGGGGTTGCCGTGGCGACGGCGGGGGGTGACGTCAAAGTGCGCGCGCGGGTGACATGACGTCACGGCAGCCGCGTGATGATGACGTCACCGCCCACACACACACCGCTGGGTATCAACTACCGGACGTGACGTCGCCGTTGGGGACCGCCGGTCGTGACGGTGTCGTCATCGCGACTGGTGACAGAACGGGGTGGGGGTGCTGCGGCGACGTCACGCAAAAAAAATTGCGTATCGGATATCCGCGAAGAAGTGTCGGCGGTTCGATGACGTCACCGGGCCTTCTGGTCGCTCCAACAGTGACATCACCTTTTGGTTACCCTGGTGACGTCGAAAGATGCGCGTCCATGTTTTGTGACGTATTTTCAAACGTTGTCGCGAGAGGAATGCGCACATACGTCATCACGTCACAACCGCAATTCCACCGGGACTGCGCGATGACGTACGTACACCACAACCGTAATTACGCCGGGAAAATCTGATGACGTAATCACGCCAGAACCTGCCATTACGACAGAATTTCGTGATGACGTCAGTATGCTAAATTGAGCTTGCATTGGGACTGTGCTCGATGACGTCATGTCCTGGACGCCGCAAACCGGTCGAGAGCCGTGGGAAATGACGTCATTACGCAAAGCCGATAAATAAGCAGCGATGACGTCGACGCTTACTGGATGCACTCAAGGAACGGAGCGCGATGACGTCATCACTGCTTTACGTGTTGAACTTTTTTCGCACCGTACGTAGCAAAAGTATTATTAGGCGCGGGGGAAGTCTGTGGGTCTCTACTGTGTGAGTAGTCTATGGGTCTCTACTGTGTGAGTAGTCTGTGGGTCTCTACTGTGTGAGTAGTCTGTGGGTCTCTACTGTGTGAGTAGTCTGTGGGTCTCTACTGTGTGAGTAGTCTATGGGTCTCTACTGTGTGAGTAGTCTATGGGTCTCTACTGTGTGAGTAGTCTGTGGGTCTCTACTGTGTGAGTAGTCTGTGGGTCTCTACTGTGTGAGTAGTCTGTGGGTCTCTACTGTGTGAGTAGTCTGTGGGTCTCTGAGTAGTCTGTGGGTCTCTACTGTGTGAGTAGTCTGTGGGTCTCTGAGTAGTCTGTGGGTCTCTACTGTGTGAGTAGTCTGTGGGTCTCTACTGTGTGAGTAGTCTGTGGGTCTCTACTGTGTGAGTCGTCTGTGGGTCTCTACTGTGTGAGTAGTCTGTGGGTCTCTACTGTGAGTAGTCTGTGGGTCTCTACTGAGTAGTATATGGGTCTCTACTATGTGAGTAGTCTGTGGGTCTCTACTGTGTAAGTAGTCTGTGGGTCTCTACTGTGTGAGTAGTCTGTGGGTCTCTACTGTGTGAGTAGTCTGTGGGTCTCTACTGTGTGAGTAGTCTATGGGTCTCTACTGTGTGAGTAGTCTGTGGGTCTCTACTGTGAGTAGTCTATGGGTCTCTACTGTGTGAGTAGTTTATGGGTCTCTACTGTGTGAGTAGTCTGTAGGTCTCTACTGTGTGAGTAGTCTATGGGTCTCTAATGTGAGTAGTCTGTGGGTCTCTGTGTGAGTAGTCTGTGGGTCTCTACTGTGTGAGTAGTCTGTGGGTCTCTACTGTGTGAGTAGTCTGTGGGTCTCTACTGTGTGAGTAGTCTATGGGTCTCTACTGTGTGAGTAGTCCGTGGGTCTCTACTGTGTGAGTAGTCCGTGGGTCTCTACTGTGTGAGTAGTCTGTAGGTCTCTACTGTGTGAGTAGTCTGTGGGTCTCTACTGTGTGAGTAGTCTATGGGTCTCTACTGTGTGAGTAGTCTGTGGGTCTCTACTGTGAGTAGTCTGTGGGTCTCTACTGTGTGAGTAGTCTGTGGGTCTCTACTGTGTGAGTAGTCTGTGGGTCTCTACTGTGTGAGTAGTCTGTGGGTCTCTACTGTGTGAGTAGTCTGTGGGTCTCTACTGTGTGAGCAGTCTATGGGTCTCTACTGTGTGAGTAGTCTGTGGGTCTCTACTGTGTGAGTAGTCTGTGGGTCTCTACTGTGTGAGTAGTCTGTGGGTCTCTACTGTGTGAGTAGTCTGTGGGTCTCTACTGTGTGAGTAGTCTGTGGGTCTCTACTGTGTGAGTAGTCTGTGGGTCTCTACTGTGTGAGTAGTCTATGGGTCTCTACTGTGTGAGTAGTCTATGGGTCTCTACTGTGTGAGTAGTCTGTGGGTCTCTACTGTGTGAGTAGTCTGTGGGTCTCTACTGTGTGAGTAGTCTGTGGGTCTCTGAGTAGTCTGTGGGTCTCTACTGTGTGAGTAGTCTGTGGGTCTCTGAGTAGTCTGTGGTCTCTACTGTGTGAGTAGTCTGTGGGTCTCTACTGTGTGAGTAGTCTGTGGGTCTCTACTGTGTGAGTCGTCTGTGGGTCTCTACTGTGTGAGTAGTCTGTGGGTCTCTACTGTGAGTAGTCTGTGGGTCTCTACTGAGTAGTATATGGGTCTCTACTATGTGAGTAGTCTGTGGGTCTCTACTGTGTAAGTAGTCTGTGGGTCTCTACTGTGTGAGTAGTCTGTGGGTCTCTACTGTGTGAGTAGTCTATGGGTCTCTACTGTGTGAGTAGTCTGTGGGTCTCTACTGTGAGTAGTCTATGGGTCTCTACTGTGTGAGTAGTTTATGGGTCTCTACTGTGTGAGTAGTCTGTAGGTCTCTACTGTGTGAGTAGTCTATGGGTCTCTAATGTGAGTAGTCTGTGGGTCTCTGTGTGAGTAGTCTGTGGGTCTCTACTGTGTGAGTAGTCTGTGGGTCTCTGTGTGAGTAGTCTGTGGGTCTCTACTGTGTGAGTAGTCTATGGGTCTCTACTGTGTGAGTAGTCCGTGGGTCTCTACTGTGTGAGTAGTCCATGGGTCTCTACTGTGTGAGTAGTCTGTGGGTCTCTACTGTGTGAGTAGTCTGTGGGTCTCTACTGTGTGAGTAGTCTATGGGTCTCTACTGTGTGAGTAGTCTGTGGGTCTCTACTGTGTGAGTAGTCTGTGGGTCTCTACTGTGAGTAGTCTGTGGGTCTCTACTGAGTAGTATATGGGTCTCTACTATGTGAGTAGTCTGTGGGTCTCTACTGTGTAAGTAGTCTGTGGGTCTCTACTGTGTGAGTAGTCTGTGGGTCTCTACTGTGTGAGTAGTCTATGGGTCTCTACTGTGTGAGTAGTCTGTGGGTCTCTACTGTGAGTAGTCTATGGGTCTCTACTGTGTGAGTAGTTTATGGGTCTCTACTGTGTGAGTAGTCTGTAGGTCTCTACTGTGTGAGTAGTCTATGGGTCTCTAATGTGAGTAGTCTGTGGGTCTCTGTGTGAGTAGTCTGTGGGTCTCTGCTGTGTGAGTAGTCTGTGGGTCTCTACTGTGTGAGTAGTCTGTGGGTCTCTACTGTGTGAGTAGTCTATGGGTCTCTACTGTGTGAGTAGTCCGTGGGTCTCTACTGTGTGAGTAGTCTATGGGTCTCTACTGTGTGAGTAGTCTGTGGGTCTCTACTGTGTGAGTAGTCTGTGGGTCTCTACTGTGTGAGTAGTCTATGGGTCTCTACTGTGTGAGTAGTCTGTGGGTCTCTACTGTGTGAGTAGTCTGTGGGTCTCTACTGTGTGAGTAGTCTGTGGGTCTCTACTGTGTGAGTAGTCTGTGGGTCTCTACTGTGTGAGTAGTCTGTGGGTCTCTACTGTGTGAGTAGTCTGTGGGTCTCTACTGTGTGAGCAGTCTATGGGTCTCTACTGTGTGAGTAGTCTGTGGGTCTCTACTGTGTGAGTAGTCTGTGGGTCTCTACTGTGTGAGTAGTCTGTGGGTCTCTACTGTGTGAGTAGTCTGTGGGTCTCTACTGTGTGAGTAATCTACGACCTCCTGCGTACCAGGCGAGATAGTTAACATCTCCTAGCCACTACGATGATGACGAGAGAGAGACGCAGACTCCAAATATACAGCAGCAGCAGGCGTCGTCAGGGTTGGGATAAAACACACGACCTCTTTTATAACAGACGAGGTGGTCAACATCTCACAGCCACCGTGATGATGATGATGAGAGAGACGCAGACTCCACATCTACAGCAGCAGCAGTAGCAGGCATCGTCAGGGTCGGGATGGAACCCACGACCTCCTGTAGACCAGGCGAGGTAGTCAACATCTCCTAGCCACAGTGGATGATGATGATGATGAGAGAGAGACGCAGACTCCACATAGACCTCCTGTATACCAGGCGAGGTAGTCAACATCTCATAGCCACAGTGGATGATGAGAGACACAGACTCCACATAGACCTCCTGTAGACCAGGCGAGGTAGTCAACATCTCATAGCCACCGTGATGATGATGATGAGAGAGAGACGCAGACTCCACATAGACCTCCTGTAGACCAGGCGAGGTAGTCAACATATCATAGCCACCGTGATGATGATGATGATGAGAGAGAGACGCAGACTCCACATAGACCTCCTGTAGACCAGGCGAGGTAGTCAACATCTCATAGCCACCATGATAATAATGATGATGAGAGAGACACAGACTCCACATAGACCTCCTGTATACCGGGCGAGGTGGTCAACATCTCACAGCCTACGAAAGTGCTGTTTGGTCAGTCAGCGCCACGCCCGGCCGCCTTTGTCTCCCCGAGTGGCGATGTTTCACGACGCACCGCACCGGCTTATTTATTTGAGGCCGAGCCGACCTAGGGGTAGGCCCGGCACCGGGTCCAGGTGCTCGTCAGCAGCGGCGTTGGCTGCTGAGCGGGGATCGACCCTCGGTGGCGTAGCGCTAACCGCTGCACCACCACTCGCACAGACGACAACAACAACAACAACAAACAACACCAACAGCAGCAGCAGCAGTCGCCACTGGCCACTGAACGGCGGTGACGTCGTCACGGCGCCCGTGCCAGGCTAGGTGCACGTCGAGGCAGTCACGTGAAGTGTCGAACGCCCAGCTTGGCAGGAGGAGGTTTACGTGGACAGACCCAGCAGGTGCCATGGGTTGACTGCTGTGCCAGGCTAGGTGCAGGTCATGGGACAGACCCAGCAGGTGCCATGGGTTGACTGCTGTGCCAGGCTAGGTGCAGGAGGAGGTCACGTGGACAGACCCAGCAGGTGCCATGGGTTGACTGCTGTGCCAGGCTAGGTGCAGGAGGAGGAGGAGGTCACGGGACAGACCCAGCAGGTGACATGGGCTGACTGCTGTGCCAGGCTAGGTGCAGGTCACGTGGACAGACCCAGCAGCTGCCGTGGGTTGACTGCTGTGCCAGGCTAGGTGCAGCAGGAGGTCACGTGGACAGACCCAGCAGGTGACATGGGCTGACTGCTGTGCCAGGCTAGGTGCAGGAGGAGGTCACGTGGACAGACCCAGCAGGTGACATGGGCTGACTGCTGTGCCAGGCTAGGTGCAGGAGGTCACGTGGACAGACCCAGCAGCTGCCGTGGGTTGACTGCTGTGCCAGGCTAGGTGCAGGAGGAGGTCACGTGGACAGACCCAGCGCTGACCGCTACAGTACCGGTGCGGTAGCGGTGATCATGACGACGACGATCATGACGATGATGATGACAATGATGATGACAATGATGATGATGAAGATGACGATGATGATGATGACAATGATGATGATAATGACGATGATGACGATGATGATTATGACAATGATGATGATGACAATGATGATGACGATGATGACAATGATGATGACGATGATGATAATGATGATGACGATGACAATGATGATGACAATGATGACGATGATGACGATGATGATAATGATGACGATGATGATGATGACAATGATGATGATGACAATGATGATGACGATGATGATTATGACAATGATGATGACAATGATGATGATGATGACAATGATGATGACGATGATGATTATGACAATGATGATGACAATGATGATGATGACAATGATGATGATGACAATGATGATGATGACAATGATGATAATGATGACAATGATGATGATGATTATGACAATGATGATGACAATGATGATAATGATGACGATGATGACATTGATGATGATGGCAATGATGATGACAATGATGATGATGATGACAATGATGATGACAATGACAATGATGATGATGACAATGACGACGATGACGTCACCGCCGCCACCCTCTCTCTCGATTCTGGCGGCGGTGGTGGTGAAGGAATCGGAAAAAATTTCAACCGAGAAGAGAAACTTCGGCCGCCGCCGAGCGCCGCTTGCAACGTCACCGGATATACACAACGTCACCGTCACCACCATCACCACCACTGTCACCACCACCATCACCACCACCACTACTACCACTACCACCACCATCACCACCACCACCATCACCACCACCATCACCACCACCGTCACCATCACCACCACCATCACCGTCACCACTGTCATCACCACCACCACCACCGTCACCACCACCACCACCACCACAACCACCATCACCACCACCACCATCACCACCACCACCGTCACCACCACCACCGTCACCACCACCACCGTCACCACCACCACCGTCACCACCACCACCACCACCGTCACCACCCCCGCCACCGCCACCACCACCACCGTCACCACCACCACCACTACCACCACCACTGTCACCACCACCACTGTCACCACCACCACCGTCACCACCACCACTGTCACCACCACCACCATCACCACCACCACTGTCACCACCACCACCATCACCACCACCACTGTCACCACCACCACCATCACCACCACCACTGTCACCACCACCACCATCACCACCACCACTGTCACCACCATCACCACCACCACCATCATCACCACCATCACCACCACCACTGTCACCACCACCATCACCACCATCACTGTCACCACCACACCTACTGAAGGCCAACTTCGTCGGCCATCTCCTGGATCTGGTTCTTGAGCAGCACGTGCTGCTCTGTGGTGGTGACGCGGGAGGGGGGAGGGGGGAGAGGGGGGAGGGGTGAGAGGGGAGGGGGCAGGGGGGAGGAGGGAGAGGGGGAGAGAGGTCACACTGTGTGTGTGTCACTGTGTGTGTGTGACACTCACTGTGTGTGTGTGACACTCACTGTGTGTGTGTCACTGTGTGAGTGTCACACTGTGTGTGTGTCACACTCGCTGTGTGTCACACTCGCTGTGTGTGTCACACTCGCTGTGTGTGTGTCACACTCGCTGTGTGTGTCACTATGAGTGTCACACTCGCTGTGTGTGTCACACTCGCTGTGTGTGTGTCACACTCGCTGTGTGTGTCACTATGAGTGTCACACTCACTGTGTGTGTGTCACACTCGCTGTGTGTCACACTCGCTGTGTGTGTCACTATGAGTGTCACACTCGCTGTGTGTGTGTCACACTCGCTGTGTGTGTCACTATGAGTGTCACACTCGCTGTGTGTGTGTCACACTCGCTGTGTGTCACACTCGCTGTGTGTGTGTCACACTCGCTGTGTGTGTCACTATGAGTGTCACACTCGCTGTGTGTGTGTCACACTCGCTGTGTGTCACACTCGCTGTGTGTGTCACACTCGCTGTGTGTGTGTCACACTCGCTGTGTGTGTCACTATGAGTGTCACACTCGCTGTGTGTGTGTCACACTCGCTGTGTGTGTGTCACACTCGCTGTGTGTGTGTCACACTCGCTGTGAGTGTCACTGTGTGTGTGTCACACTGTGTGTGTGTCACTGTGTGTGTGTCACACTCACTGTGTGTGTGTCACACTCGCTGTGTGTCACACTCGCTGTGTGTGTCACACTCGCTGTGTGTGTGTCACTATGTGTGTCACACTCGCTGTGTGTGTGTCACACTCGCTGTGTGTCACACTCGCTGTGTGTGTGTGTCACTGTGTGTGTGTCACACTCGCTGTGTGTCACACTCGCTGTGTGTGAGTGTCACTGTGTGTGTGTCACACTCACTGTGTGTGTCACACTCGCTGTGTGTGTGTCACACTCGCTGTGTGTCACTCGCTGTGTGTCACACTCGCTGTGTGTGTCACACTCGCTGTGTGTCACACTCGCTGTGTGTGTGTCACACTCGCTGTGTGTGTCACACTCACTGTGTGTGTCACACTCACTGTGTGTGTGTCACACTCACTGTGTGTGTGTGTCACACTCGCTGTGTGTCACACTCGCTGTGTGTCACACTCGCTGTGTGCGTGTCACACTCACTGTGTGTGTCACTCGCTGTGTGTGTGTCACTGTGTGTGTGTCACTGTGTGTGTGTCACTGTGTGTGTGTCACACTCACTGTGTGTGTGTGTGTCACACTCGCTGTGAGTGTCACACTCGCTGTGTGTGTCACACTCACTGTGTGTGTGTGTGTCACACTCACTGTGTGTGTCACACTCGCTGTGTGTCACACTCGCTGTGTGTGTCACACTCGCTGTGAGTGTCACACTCGCTGTGTGTGTCACTGTGTGTGTCACACTCGCTGTGTGTGTCACACTCGCTGTGAGTGTCACACTCGCTGTGTGTGTCACTGTGTGTGTCACACTCGCTGTGTGTGTCACTGTGTGACACACACTCGCTGTGTGTGTGTCACACTCGCTGTGTGTGTCACACTCGCTGTGTGTGTGAGTGTCACACTCGCTGTGTGTGTGTCACACTCACTGTGTGTGTCACACTCGCTGTGTGTGTGTCACACTCGCTGTGTGTCACACTCGCTGTGTGTCACACTCGCTGTGTGTGTCACACTCGCTGTGTGTCACACTCGCTGTGTGTGTGTCACACTCGCTGTGTGTGTCACACTCACTGTGTGTGTCACACTCACTGTGTGTGTGTCACACTCACTGTGTGTGTGTGTCACACTCGCTGTGTGTCACACTCGCTGTGTGTCACACTCGCTGTGTGTCACACTCACTGTGTGTGTCACTCGCTGTGTGTGTGTCACTGTGTGTGTGTCACTGTGTGTGTGTCACTGTGTGTGTGTCACACTGTGTGTGTGTGTGTCACACTCGCTGTGTGTGTCACACTCGCTGTGTGTGTCACACTCACTGTGTGTGTGTGTGTCACACTCACTGTGTGTGTCACACTCGCTGTGTGTCACACTCGCTGTGTGTGTCACACTCGCTGTGAGTGTCACACTCGCTGTGTGTGTCACTGTGTGTGTCACACTCGCTGTGTGTGTCACACTCGCTGTGAGTGTCACACTCGCTGTGTGTGTCACTGTGTGTGTCACACTCGCTGTGTGTGTCACTGTGTGACACACACTCGCTGTGTGTGTGTCACACTCGCTGTGTGTGTCACACTCGCTGTGTGTGTGAGTGTCACACTCGCTGTGTGTGTCACACTCGCTGTGTCACACTCGCTGTGTGTCACACTCGCTGTGTGTCACACTCGCTGTGTGTGTGTCACACTCACTGTGTGTGTCACACTCGCTGTGTGTGTCACACTCGCTGTGTGTCACACTCACTGTGTGTGTGTCACACTCACTGTGTGTGTCACTCGCTGTGTGTGTGTGTCACTGTGTGTGTGTCACACTCGCTGTGTGTCACACTCACTGTGTGTGTCACACTCGCTGTGTGTGTCACTGTGTGTGTGTCACACTCGCTGTGTGTGTCACTGTGTGTGTGTCACACTCGCTGTGTGTGTGTCACACTCGCTGTGTGTGTCACTGTGTGTGTGTCACACTCGCTGTGTGTGTGTCACACTCGCTGTGTGTGTGTCACTGTGTGTGTCACACTGTGTGT